AAAACCAATTCAGGCAAATAGAAACTCGCTTAGTCTGCAGGCTTGCTGCGGCTGGGGTATTTAAGCTCCATAATATGGTTTGGGGAGAAATCAGGGAAAGTTATGTTTTTAGGGTTGACAATGGGAAAACCCCTATTTTCTTCTCATCAAATCGGATAAACAAATCGACAACAAACAAACAAATTAGTTTATTGGCGTTTGCCCCATGTGGACGGGCAAATGCAAGGTCAAGAGAGGCCGCCAATCTCTAAAAAAAATAACAAAAAATATAATAAAAAAAACCTCGTTCCCATGACAACAATAAAACGGTTTACGGTCATGCTGGTTCGCAAACTTGTTTTAATAAACGTAGATTTACACGTTTGTACTGCATTTAATCAAAACTTGATGATTTTAGCTCGAGTTATCATACTAACAGACACTCACACACATATTTGCTGGTATATACAATATATTTATATGAATTTGAACGGATGGCATTTTAGGGCTCTGGAAATATAAAAAAGAAAAAGCAAATCGACCCGAGACGAGGTCTTACAATGAGTCTATATAATTTACAAATAGCATGGCATGTGAGATAAATACGATATCAATCGTTTGAACATACTAAGGTCTTCTCATAAAACAATAAAAATAATACCAAGATAGTTTATTAAATATTCCCCCATATTGTTGAGTAGGCCTAGCTACGACTATGGCTGATAAATAACCTTAATTAGAAGTTTATGGGTTGAGATTAACGAAACCGTAAATCTGTTTGGATGTACAAGCGCAGCTTAGGGTGATGCTAAAGGTCACAGTTAAAAATCAGCATTTTTAAAATGTCATAGTTCAGTAGAATGACGTAAAACCCTGTGGATTTGATTTAAAATTGAAATGTTTGTATGTCTTAATTGTCATCCCAAATTATTGTCAATACGCAATGTTACACCTTGTTATACATTACAACATTATAATGTAGGGAAATTAAGGGTATCGCTGAATACCCTGACATGATAAGTAAGTTAGGTTCAGCATACACACATATTACACATACGTTTCGAGTTTTCTGTTTTATTTCATAACAGAAGGTAACTTTGTGAACTCCAACAATGTAGAAGTTTTGATTACTTGAAAGAAAAGTTTGCAGTGTGCAGTTTGTAGTTTCATGGTACGTTTTGCTTCACTGACAACGCAAAACAGAAGTTCCGACTGCAACATTCAATGTTTCCTTTTGAATGATTTGGTTACATGTGAATTTTAAAATGTGAATTCCCCAGCATTATTTTTAACTTCTGAATAAAATATTAAAATATCCATATATACATTGGCGAATCACTCCTTATCAACGAATTTAATTTATTGTAGGCCCTATCTTAGTATTTTATACATCCAATGCCGTCTTATACAAACATAACCCAAAAGAAGATCAAATGACAACAAGGAGACACGGTAAAAGGATATTGCATTATTTGTTTTACCTAGAAAATGAGTGTAGAACCCTAATAAAATACGAGATTCGTACACATGTCCCCTCGTGTAGCTTATTAGTAACTCTAAAATATTCCACAGAAATAAAGAGTTTAATAGTTTAATCTTGTTTAATGATTTAATCATTTTCCTAGGGAATTAATAATCTACAGACTTACTTAGACGAGGAAACTAGTTCTGCACTAATAAACGGTCAAACTAAATAATTTAGTAGCTTTCCACTTTTTCCTGGGTTGGATTCATTAACGATGAGTTATAGTGAGCTTTATGGATGAAAAGAAAATCGCGTCGTTTGTCAAACACTTTGTTACGGTTGTGAGAATTAAAATAAATAGACACTGTGTCCCTAAGGGAGGTCCCTGCGCTGCTTAGCTTTACAAACACTTCTACTGTCTGTGATGCTACAGAATACAAGTGTTGTGTCCAGAACAGGGCATTACTGGTCTTTGTAATCAAGATTGCTGAGCAAAATGTAATCACAATTCCTTAATTATAGGCTCCGATCATTGTTATTCATATAAGGTGGTGTCATATCCAAGGTAGAAGATATTCAGTTGGTACAACTCTTAGTTCTCTCATAGGGTATTATTGTTACATTTTCTCTACCCATATCTCATATATGTATATAACTACCTTTAAGTATTTAAAATAATAGTACTAGGGACGGAGCATTGCTCGAGGTGTTTAATTGGTTCAAGAGGTAAAAAAAACCTATTAGCCTACAAATATGTTCAGTTTTGCTACGATTAATTAAGTTCTAAATTCAATTCGTTTTCGGTAGACACCTGCTCATTCTTAATTTACCTGACAAACTTTTTCATGTGGACGAGCAATCCATAAAATTTCTACAATAAACTTCAATATAAAAACTCGTGATACATAAAACCTATTAACTGTTATTGTGTTAGTCACTGGGACCGCAGAACGTCACAACTATAATTAAGGGATCGTGGAATAACGCATCAATTTTGGCGGCGCATCGTTGAAAACTACAAAACGTCCTTGGCCTTTCCTTTAGACTTTTAGTTCAATATTAGTGTATAAGTTAATGTTTTTGGTAAAACATTAACAAACGCTTTTTACAAGTTGTAATTAAAGTAAGTATTATTTTGTAAGTATTATTTTGTAAGTATTATTTTGGTATATGATTAATTTAAAATCATTCCATAAAAGAGTAATCGCGAAATATCTTAGTTATTAACTGTGTGTTGTATTTATGTTAAAACGTAATACACTAACAAATCAGAGTATATCAAAGCTAATTATGTATGATAATGAGACAAAATGGCTGGAAACTCAATTGTTCAACCAAGCATACATAACCAACCATTCGTCATAATTTGGTGAATCTCTCTGGCGAAACATTACGGATTGCAGTTTGACTCTATTGAAATCCATTCGGATGATGATTGTTGTTTTTCCAACAGTGCAATGGTTGTTATAGGGAGTGAGTTTATTTGTTGCTGATGAGTAGTTAAAGGCAAATCTGAACTCTGCAGTTCAATTCATCATCCTTCATCACTTGTTTTGGTTTTTTCAAGTGTAGTATGAATGATTTAAAAGAGCTTTTTTGACATGGGATACGTAAACAATTGAATAGTTAACTCGTTCTTACACTTCTTAAATTATATATAAAACTATGTGAAATGAAGAAATTACGTCACGAAACTAGATTCACAGACATTGCAAACAACACAGGAGTGGTGGTTTAATTTTACGAATCTTGTTTTGATTAAGATTAAACAGATAAAATAATAGCCATTTACTTTACAAGTGTAGTAAGAGCGTTTTTACATCACGCAGGTGAATGTTGTGCAACGAGCGGAAGCGAGTTGCATAATTTACCGAAGTGATGTAAACACGCTCTTGCGTAACGTGTAACGTACAAGATTTTACCTGACCCGACAATATGCAGGAGGTTACGAACAATATTTTCATTATCCATTTCACTCATTTTCTAACAGTAACGTTCATTTACAAACAAAAGCTAGGTTAGGAAAATTCGTCAAAACATAACAATAAAATTCAAGCGCACAGCTGATTTCTAGCGTTGAACGTCGTTGGCTCCATAGAGGTATATTTTTTAAGTTAAGCACTCAATGTTATTTAAATAGGTTTCATTACATCACCGAGTGAGTTCTTTCAACTTTACATCACTCGAGAAGTAACGAAGTTATATACATCACGCTTGGGATAGGGAAGTTTAACATGGCGGGTTAGGTAAAGATCTTTACCACATTCTAAAAATCCATGCACAAGTACACAGTAAGCAAAAAATAATTTATTCTCCATTAAGGGGAATGGTATACGACATATTGATATTTATTATTCTTAAGATGATTGAAATATTTAAAACAATTCTTTCATAACAGAGATTAATTTAGAGACACTTAAATAATGGAGATAGGTAATGTCATATGTTTTGCTAATTGGTTATAACCAACATGATAATATACAATCGGCATATATTTTTATATGTAACCAAAATCAAATATGTATTATTATTTTGACAAAAATGATGATAAAAAGAAGCGCTCGTTGAGAACACCACAGTATGATGATCTGGCCTAGATACATAATGGCCTAGTTGCATATCGCCCGCGACAGCCAGGAGTCATCGTCCTCGAGGGCTATGAATAAAACAACATTTATTTGTTTCTTGTCACTATACGAACTTTCTGTCCCATACAAATAACTATATTTATATTTGTATTACATACTACAAACACGTTTGTGTAGAAGGGTTGCTGTCAGATTGGGCGTATCTCGTTTGACCCAGTAGGCTCCCCTGTATCCCTCCTGACCCACATTTCACACTACATTAAAATCAAGCTCTTACTGTAACTTCCACGGGTTGCAGCTAGATTTTGAATACAAAGATACATTTTACTTTCTCTACTACTTCCATCACTATACTATATACAGCTTACAATTATATCAATATTTTATTTATGGTATACTGATTATTTCACTACTCACATCAGAGTGAAAATAAGTTAAATAAATTGAACATTTAAAAATATTTCCTTTATAGTTAGTTAATAACTAGGTTCATACTGTGTTTCTTTCTATTATGTAAAAAAGGTTTCACTTGAATTTCAAAATAATATATTCTTGTTGTACATTGAACTAATATTTTTTTTAAATCTGTTAAATTATTGTTTGTAGAAACTATTTGATTTTACACCAGCCAATACAGTAAATGATAGGAACTAAACCACAATTAAATAAACTGTACTTTGATTAGACGTGAAGCTCATAAGTGTTACTTAGCTATAAATAAATATTGAGTGTATTTAATTAAATAACTCGAGGTGGCGGATGTTGAGCGTTGTGCGTTGTGCGTTGAGCGGAATGCAGTGGTGATCACATTCCACGTTCAGCATGCGGAAGTGCATGTAACGGGCGTAGGCCGCATGTACGCTAGATGTTGGCCACCCAATCAATAAGCCGTAGTGAGAGTAGTTCCTCCGCTGCTCACTACTCAGCGCCACCGTCGCACACCTCACCGCCAGTCGCTCATAGAAGACTATTTCAATTCGTGGTTTCGTTTACGGGTGGTTGTCAATCGTGAACTATCAATCAGGAGGTGCTCTTGACAGTTCTGTATCTTCCAGATTTCTTCCTATCCCTGTCGACCCTGCGAGCACTGTGAGTACGCAATCTAAGAAGGTTAAGTTGTGCGTTTGAGCAGGTTAGTTTTACCCGCAATCTGTCAAGACGACCACATTTTCAAGTGTCTTGTTTAAAAATGTATCTAACGAAAATGTATTGTAATGCTAAACCATGGTTTCTTTTAGTAGGAGAAAAATAATGCTATGTAAATAAACGACAACATAACCTTACCTGATTTTAAATATTCACCTCCTACGTATATGTGTGAACACCTTTACTATACTGTTTGTAACTACATATTTTAACGTTTTATTAGCATATATCTAAAATACAGGAGGTCAGTAGGGGTTGTGATCGTCAGTTACAAGGCTGGGCCGCGGAACGGTCTGTTATTGACTTTCCTGAGTCACGTGCACTCATCGTCAATACACTCGTACGGTACGACGATACATTCTCACTGCACACTGCACCCGCACCCACGTCATCTTTACCTTTTGATTTTGTATTTATAAATAGAATAAACGACTCATGACAAACATGAACTAAATATAATGTCAAATAATTGTTTAACTAATAAAACTCAAAATAGGCTTGTCTGTTAAAAAATGACTCAAAATGTATTGCGTTAACCATTCTCTCATCTGAATGGAATAAAATGAAACAAATATCCTGGAAATGATTTGTAATCTTATGACTGAACAGTTTCAGCTTTTACCCTCGTCGAAATTTCCAAGAACAGCTGGAACTTAATGATTTCGAAAACATATGTTATTTTGGTGGTCTTCCTACAAATAATTTAAAACTGACGTTTTTCTGTTCGTACATAAAGAAAACATATTTTCCTCTGTGTACCACTCAATCGTTGGATCTGATATCTTACCAATTTATAAAAATACAATATGATATAACGTCCTATTGGGAATATCTTCGATTTAAAACCAGTATGTAAAAAAAATCTAAATGTATGTATCTATATGTTATATTGATTAGTAATGTGGGAAAAGACGTCAGTATTGTTAATAACAAAAATTATACCAGTTAATAGAATTAGCTATATTAATTGTGTTACATTATAGTCGGATATGATCCCATGGCACACATTGGACAGCATATCGTAAAAATAAAGATATTGTAATTTATTTTGACCCATTTGGAATCTAACCTCCAAAGAAGTAATTAAATATTTTGAGGTTCACTAGGCTGAATGACACACATTTTCTGATATTTTTATTTAACTCATTATTGGAAAAACTATGACTAAGACATATGTTTACATTTTTAGAAAATAATTGACTTAACAAGTAGCATGCTTCACACACGTAGCATCATTTCAGTTTTAGGTTACCAGCTGAATAAATGTAACCAACTACACAGTCATTATATAGTAGTGCTATGCATATAAATTTTTATGTATATTATGGAAATTCCTTTTTTTTATAATATTAAAGTGTATTATTTATTCTTCGTCCATTACAAAGTCATTAATCTATATATTACCAAAACAATAAATTAAATAATTTGTTTTTACATTTAATTAAATCTTGGGATCTTTATATAGTTGGTTTTTATGTCCTGCATTTACATGTGTACGCTAGACTCTATTCGGGAACTATATGAAGCTACATATCACTTCAGGCTACTTGCGTCGCGTTATTATCACACAGCAAAAAACCTTTGATGATTGGCAGGATTTGAACCCGGGGCCTCTGGGACCGAAGCCCATTTTCTACCTGTAGTAGGGTAAATACAGGTATGTTCTATACCCAAGCGGAAAACACTAACCTACTTATTCTTAAAATAAATCTTAAATTATGTATACAATTAATTCCAACAATAGGGAGTGTGCCATATAATGATGATGGAAATGTACAAATCCATCTGAGTACGCGAGCACATCTTCAACGCTAGAGAGGGATTGTAGAACACTGAGCAAGATTTAGAGCCTCCGTTGCTCGTCGTAAATATGATTAGAATCGCGGGAGCGAAGCAAGTGGCAGGATATTACAGGCATATCGCACTCTCGTCACAAATCAAGTGCCTTGTGTCGTGAAAACCCACCTTTATTGAGGCAAACATGCTCAACATCCTGACAACATAAAACTTGCCATTCGTCACTCACAGCCCCAAGCAGTATGTGTTATGAGAATCTGCAAGCTGAAATATTTATGTGATTTTACAAACATAAATCATAATTTGTTCATAACAATTTATTGGTAACCTTGTATTTCGGAAATATCGACAGCCATTTCAACTATTTCAAAGTCCAATTACAGTTTCGATTATAATTAAATGTAATCAATTTAACTCAAATATTATATACGGTCATTTCAATTGATACCTGATTTCAACCACTAGTCATTTTGTCTCAAACGGAAATAATTCTCAACGAAATAAAAATTAATTAACTTTCCGACTTAAGCAGACACAGTAGTTCTATAAAAAAAATAAACTAGTAAACACTAGTCAGCATTTAAAATATATTTACGTTTCAAAGACGTCTAATCAGTTTTACAATAACTGAACAATAATTTTAAGTATTAAAATCTTGAAGGTAAAATCATTAGAAAACCAGTTACCTCACTTTGTATGTTACTTATAATTTAAATACGAGACTCAAACATATGTATGTACACAGCAGAGTTTATAAGTACTGCAAGTCAATAAAATACAGCAAATTGGAATTGAACCGAACTCCGATTAATATATTGTAGATAATAAACTTGAAATACTGATTAGTGACTTTGGAATTATTGATGTGCATAACATAAAATAAACATATATGTTCATAAAAAAAATTTTAAGGCTGTAAAACAATACATAGTACGAGTAACACAGTAATATGAAGGAATTGAAGTGAATTTTGCCACTGATAAAATCCTGTTTATTTGTAGTGGTATGTCAACTTTTGTACAGTATTACTATATACTATATGTCAACTATAATAAGATAAATCGAATGTATAATTTACGAACTATATTCCATGTTTTAAAAAAGCATAACGTCACACGTGTTTGAGTGAAGCCTATTCAAAGGAAGTCTTGTAATGAAATATTATATCACCCAATGTATAACTGGAATTATATGTGAAATATCCCGTAACCATTTGTTTGAATTTGCATCTTAACATACAGTTTGAATGCAAAACAAATATTATTCTCAATATTAATATAATAAATTATCAATTATCAGTTATTTAAGATGGGGACGCCACTATGTGCGTATTTTAACCCAAATATGAGTGAAGGATGAGTGTAGGATGAGCGGCGCGATCTTGTAGTCTTGTTAGTGACTAAGGTCGACATGTTCCTTAGACACAGTTGTTAATTAATAGCCCATACAGCTAATTGCAACTAAGGGGCCTACAGTTTATTGTGGAATCCGAACCACACTTTTTCGTCGTAATCAACGAATTGGTCTAATTACTAGGATAGCACTGCGGATAGTCGTAGTACTCACTAGTGCGGACGTTTATCCACACCAGGGAGCATCGCATCCACAGTGCATCCCTATAATTATCCACAATTCATGACCTCCTAGTAGCTGGATTTCAGGACAACGCCACCCGCCCCAGTGGCGGGTATTAAATAGTATTATAGATAATTTTATATACCTAGTTTATAAACCTAGTGTGACCCGGCAAAACGCCTTGCTCCAAATTCCAAAAGTAAGACTAGAAGTAGGTAGAAAAGGGTTTTCTTACTTTGGCCCAAAGATCAGCTGGGGGTCCTGGCTTTCAAAAGAAAAGTAAAGAAGATGTAAAATATTGTATATAGCTTATAATTTTGTTTTGTCATACACATTGTTTTGTATAATAATTTTTGTATATTTTTAAGTTAGTTATATTGACATGAGTTACTTTGTAAAACAGTTCTTGTACTGAAAGACGCTCGCAAATAAAGGCATTTATTTATTTATTATTTATTTAAAAATAGCAATACTCTAGAAATAAAATTGATTGCAGTATTCGACGCTCGTTCTTCAACCACTGACGTAGGGTTAGAGTTCGCAGCATCCTAGATATACTAACCTAACAAAGTCGTTAAGACGGGTTCTGGCCCTGGCTGAAGCTAAATCTTGGGTACAGTTTAGCTTAGACTATACAGAATTGTCTTGCAGGTTGTGAAAATTAACATCTTCTTAAACTACATTTACACCTTGAACAATTTTAAGTGTTTTTTTGCCACGTATGTTTCTATGTTAAACAATTGACAATTGAAGTATTTATACACAGTTTTCCAGGTTTATGAAATTTTTATATGGTATTATATCTGTATAACACCTATTTGTACCTCGAATGGCTTTGTGAAGGTGATGAAGCCAAAGAGTCTTTTTTCTTAGAAACATATTTTAAAATTAAACTCAGCAAAGACGTAATTAAATTGTGCATCAGAATAATACAGCAGAGTTTGCGTCACAATGAGAATATTATGGTTTATCTTTAATTTTTTATTGGCTCGTCTAAAGTACCTCTACTGTGTTCTACAACGACATAAACTATTTAAAATAGCCTTAGTCCACTGACAGTGACTGTTCGTCCATTACATTTGTTTTTCTATCAGTGTGATGATTTACTTGCTACTTATACGTGTTTCAAAGTTGGTTTTAAACGGTATTTGATAAATATTCAGAATAGAAAATAGATCTTATCCAACTTAAGTTGAACGATTTGTGCATTATAACTCACTTTTAAAAACCTCAACAAATCAGGTGAAGAACATTTAATTTAGTACATGTGAGTTTTTCTATCTTATCAAAGAGGTTGACCCTGTCTTGGTTTTAGTTAAACCTATCACTCGAGTTTTCATATTAAAGCACACTCTACCAATCACTGTGTGAAGCCCAACAATGCTCTAGCAGATCGTGTTTATGTGGACAGGTCAAAGCTTTGTAAACCAACATTCTTCTCGTGTTCGGGTTTTGTTAAACGATGCCACGCGTGTGTTCGGACCTGTTTGACATCAGACCCACGTCAGAGATCGTTCGAACCTTTTGCGTCAAAGAAACCCAGCTTTTCCTTTCAAATTTCTGAGAAACGA